AAAAGGACGAACTGATGCCATTCTTTCGTGATGACACGCTTCCTCTTTTCTCTTAAGCAAACCAAGGGCAGTGGAAGTCACCTGCTATCAGCCAGCAAGGTCATGGCTGTAGCACCTGTTGGCACCTCGTCTATCTACACCACAGTACCAGGGACAGCTGTGTGTGCATTTGCTTTTGTGTGTGTGTGTGTGTGTGTGTGTCTGTGTGTGTTTTGAGGCACGCTGAGAGATTTATTCCACCCACGCACCCCTACCTCTCAGCAGCTGTGTCTAGGCTATGATCCTGAGCTGGCCGGCACCAGGACGGAGACAGGAAAGAACACCTCTTACCCCAATGAGTTCACTACATAGTTGGTCTTTGGAATGGGCACAATAGCAACAACGGGCGTAGATATCAAGAGAGTGTCGGCATTTCTCAGTTCAGATTTGGTCCGGCCTCGAGACCAATAGATTGGAAGAAAAGAAATTCTGCACCTCGGATGTTTTTTTTTTCAAAGAAGCTAAACGGCTTGTAAAGTCAGATCCATAATGTGGCTTGATTCCCTCCGGGTCTCTTGAAGAAGGCCACTTCATGCTCTTTGTGGCCCAACAGGTCGTCAACAAGCCAGCTGGGCTTGTGCAGACCCCCCTATCCGCGGCCACTAGCCCTCCACTGCCCTGAGCTCGGACTTGGTACCGTCTGTCTCTCTCTCTCTCTGCTGGGTTTCACACCGCGGAGGAGCAGCACCCGGAGGAGCTGTGTTTCTGCAGCAGCGACATGCGGCTGAAGGTGCGAGAGCAGACGCCACACTGGTACTTCTTCACTTCGGCATGGGTCTGCAGATGAGCTCGCAGGTTGGAGCGGTCAGCGAAGGCCCGGTTGCAGTGGGTGCAGGAGAACGGGCGCTCACCTGGACAGAGAAAGAAGGGAGCAAAAACACACGTCATATAACTTGACTGGCTCAACAGTTAGCATCTCTGAGTTCACAAGAGCCTCCCATTAACACCTCACACACACACATTCTGAAGATAATGAAGAATCACATGGTGGGCTGGAGGGGTCAGAGCCTGACTGCATTAGCATGATTCAATCAGAGCCAAATGAGATTAGCACGCTAACAAGTTGCTGCAGGTACAAAGTGCTCTGTGATAGCAGAGCCTTCAGGCATTCTTTAAACCTTTTGTCACCCCCGTGTCCCCAATCTGCTGTCTTCCCCAGCAGCCGTGATAAGATAATTAGCTGACGAGTCATTGTTGCTGGGACATTAAACACAATGAGGAATCAATGAGTGCAGGGTCTACAGAGGGCTTCCCTATGGGATAGCCTGTCTGCTGATCAAGTGTTGAGCTCATCAAACTGATTGTCATGGATATCCTGCACCCATACATCACAGCTCAACTGATGAAGACAATGTCAGCCGCTCAAATGTAGATTTACAGCTTTACGGCAACACTTAGGCTGATTTCTGCGCTCGTGAATTAGCAATAAAGTGGGAATCAAGCAGATGGGGGGGGGGGGGTGTCTTGTTATGTTGCAGACATGGGTCTAACCTGTGTGTGTGCGGATGTGGCCGCGCAGCAGCCACGGCCTGGAGAAAGCCTTTCCGCATGTGGTGCACACGCAGGGCAGGGTGTGTGAGCGGATGTGCATCTTCAGAGCCCCGAGGCTGGTGTACTCTTTGGGGCAGTGTTTGCAGAGGAAGGCTGGCCTGGCTACCGTGACGGGGGCCTCCCTCTCCTCCTCCTCCTCGGGGGGACTGATGTGAGGGATGACGCCGGTGCATTTCATCCGCTGGCGAGGGGCGTACGTGTGTACAGGTTCGGGGCTGGGGGGGTCTGAGGTGCGTCCTTCATCCTCCTCTCCACAGCTGCTGGCGCTGCTGCTGAGGCTGGAAGGGGAGCTGAGGTCCAGGGGGCCCGGGGTGGTGGAGGGCTCTGTTTTAGAGGTGGGCAGGTAGAGGGCGGGCAGGATGCTCAGGTCCCACACCAGACCTGTTGTGAAACAGGTGGCAATGGAGGTGTTGACCCCTGAGCAGAGCTCAGCAAGTGGATACCTCTCCAGTGACATGTCTGAGGGAGAAGGATGAGGATGGTTCAAGCTTACAGACAGTACACAACAAGTTCAATGCTATTTAATGGAAATATAGAACAGACAAATTCACCATTTGAAATGTGTCTTATCAACTTTCATCAACTACACCTATACTGTCTGTACTGGTTGAAAGGATTTATTCGTGTTTTTCTCAGCATTTACTGAGCATAAAGCTGGAGCCATAGGGAGGTTTCATGGGCCGTTTCCTCCCACGTATTCACAAGGACTTGTAACATGAATGGAGCTCTGTCTGGTTGCAGAAAGGGGGGAAAGTGCATCTAACGGGCCCCGACTTGTAGTCGAACCAGGCACACAAAGCTAAAGACAGTGATTTTATCCAGAATGTAGGTACATTTAACTAAGCTAAACTGGCAACTACACTACAGACAAAATGTGCAATAGTTAGTGGTGTTAACACTTGCGCTTTAATAATTAACACAAAATAAAGAATAAAGAAAAAAAGATTCACAACTCACCATTCTGACATTCCAGTTCACTGTAGTTTGGCTTTTGTTTCGCGAAGTACTGTTTGACCAAGAAAGATCGAGGCATTGTCCCTGTGAGAGTTAAACTGTGCGTAAAAGTATCCTGTGGTCACGACGCACAGTTTCTACAAGAATAAAAAAAAGTAAATCAAATCTTGGTCCTCGGATCCACAGGAAACAGAAAAAAATATATCTTCCTATAGTCCACAAGTTAGAGAGGACTTGAGCAGACAAGTGTGTGTGTGTGTGTGTGTGTGTGTGCAGCTTTCATGCAGAATGACTAAATACTGGCCTCTGTTCTGAAATACTCTGACACGGGCGGTAGGGGTGTGCTCGCCCCGAGGGCCCTCCCCAACCTCCCATATCACTGCTCAAGTGCGCAGGATGAAGCCTACATGCTCGCGCACTCTACAACAACAAAAACACGAGCCTCTTTGCGTCCACTCGCGTAAACCCATTGCTGTTGACCAGCAGACCAGAAACGGTGAAAGACCGGGAGCAAATTGTTGTAATTACGTTGTGTAAGTGACCGCTTGTGCAGATATTTAGAGACCCGATGAACAGCAATTGGACAGCTCTATTGCACTACAGCTCCTAGTATGAATACTGCTGCAAGGACTTACTTCTGTTTTTAATGTGTGCTTAAAAACATCAAACTGTCCACTGCAACCAAGACAGGTCGATAGTCCACCACAGTGCATAGATAAACACAGACACGTTAAAGCCTAAAAGATATTATTCATTTTAAAGACCAGTTCACCTCGCATGCATGTCTTTGTATAACTTTGGTCCTCGCACTCAGTCACCACTGTTTCCTTCTTTAGGGGGATTTAGAGGCGCGGTCTAAACATTAAAACATAGTGAATGTGGAACACTATTTCTACTAAATTGTAGTTTTCATGACATTGTTGTGATGAAAATAAGAATCAATATTTCGTGGAGGGTAAGTCATCAGACCTGCCACATGTTATCTAATAGAATACGATAAAAAAAAAGCTACACTTTAATACACATGCCGTCTCAGCCTTCTAACAAAGGTAGAGTAACTGCACCACCTTCTGGAAGAAAGTGTCATATCACAACCTGGCCGAGGCTGATGACCACCGGGTGGCGCTGTTACAGAGGTTTTCCAATCAATCAGAGCATCGATCCAGGTGATCTCAAGTGATGGGTATCCAAAGCTGTGTCACCTGTGTGAAATGAAGGTTTTTTTTAACCAAACCACTGTGACTCTGTCTCATATGCCTTCTCATGTTTGACGTTTTGAGACAGCTACAGTGAAAGTTGTTGGGGTGTTTATGTCCCACTGACCAGACTTTGACCTCATCTTCACTAAAGCATTGAAAAGTGGGCAACTGAACTGCAGTATACTGTGGAGATTAATTATTTATAATAGTCAAACAAGACATTTAAGAAGGATTAGAAATATCACAGCAACAATAAAATCGTGTTGTACGGGATGCTATGGCAGATGAACAGGACTAATAAGACATTGTAGTAGCCTATGTACATAAACACTGCCACTGTGTTCTGCAAGTACCCGACAGGAATACCATATATTTTAGCAGTGTGGAAAAAAGCCTTGTTTATCAGATCACTGGCCATTTGTACAGGGTACAACATCAAACCCATTGTCACAATATAAATCCATATTCAACTGACACCCTTTCTATTTCAATAAAACAATACAAATCAGAAATGAATCCAGCTAGTCTTCCTACAAAGATCCCATCATAAATAGAATTAGAATTGGTATTAGGTTGATGCTGTACAGTGGCTCTGTGATATTCACTATGGTCTTATCACTAAAAAATTAAGGTGTATTTTTCTTGCCGTTATGTTTTTTTTATGGAGTTTTCTTGTCTTGTGTCTACATGCTTAACTCAAAAAAAATAGTTTATATAGCATCACTAATACGAACTGAAGTACTCCGAGTTAGATCTCAAGTTCTAACAGCAGGCCTGGCACCACGGGACATCAAGTGAGGATGAAGGAGGCGGTCTCCATCACCAGAGGGATACAAAGAGTCACCACTGTCGCGTGTTTGTGCTGCCCTGTAGATACAGCACAATAATACACTCTCAGCTGATCTGAGAGACACACACACGCGCCCCATGCATATGACCACATCTTATCAAGACACCTTTTCCCCTTGAAGTTGTTTAATTTGAGTGATTTTAAAGTGGTCAAACCATTAAAATTCTTGTTATGCATCCACTGACCAAACAGCCAAATAATAAGAAATAATTTATTGTTGGTACCATTGCTGTGGATTGTTTAGCAATGGTGAACTTTAGACAGCTTGGACAAAGGGGTAAAAAAGTGGACATAAAGAAAGCAAAGACGGTTACAATAAATGTCAAATCAACGTGCATGCGCAGTACGTCGTGGTCTCTGATTGGTGGGTTGCTCGTGGTGGGCGGGGACACAGGGTGGGTCTCCTGTCTGTGATCGGTTGAATATTTGAAATACAGAACAAGTCTTCTTGTTAGACTGTGACACTTACAGGATTTAATTGGCAAAAATAAATAAATAAGGAAACCGGTGAACATTTGCAAATTGACACGATGCTTTGCGACTGAAACGAACTTAACGGTAGGTAAGGACACCGCAACGCTGCAATTCACTTACAGAGATTCATGACTGCATACGTGGTTAGACAATACATCGACTACCCAATAACATGTTGCTGACATTGGAGACATATTTTGTTCGATTATCCCAACATAAGATTTGACGTATACTGCAGGCTGTCATTGGTTGTCTCGGTTTAGTTTGGTTGCAGCCGTTTGAAGCATAGCGTCATATTACTGCAAACCACTGAGGACTCTGTGACCCAAAGACATGAAACAAAAGTTTAAAAATGGATTTCTACCTAATTCAGTGAGTGAGACATGTTTGATTCATCGGAGACTTGATCCCTGTGGCTGCAGTAGTGTTCGTAATCCTGTTATTTCTCTCATTATGTCTGTGATGTGTACGTCATTGCATAACCGGAAGTGGGAAATGCAACACAATAGCATCATAACAACGTTGCAGAAAATGTCAATTATTAATTAAGTGCAATGGCTCAACATGGAGCCACCTCAGTCCATTTAAAGGTGCAGGCCAGGCTTCGCACTGACAAGATGTTTGATAAAAGGAGCCCCTCCCCCATATATGTAGAGACAGATGGACCCTAACAATGATGTTCTGGGGGAGTGGGCATCATTATTCAAATCACTGTATCATAAAGAAATGTAATTGGACATCCTGGTCAGCTGACCCAGATTGCTTGAATTTTGAAAAATAATAATGGAGGATGAGCCCCTTTGCATCACTCCCAAACAGTCAAAGAGGGATTAGCAGGACTGAAGGTAGCAATGATGCATGTGACTCTATGAGCAGTATTTGTCTTGTCTTTAGCAGATAAAGACTCTTTCTGCTGAACAAAGAAGGGAGGAAGACGGTATCAGCAGCAAGTTCAGACTAACACCTCGAGGGAAGACGGAGAGAAAATAGCAATGTTCAAAACGATCACCCGTCTGCTTTTTGGGGGAGAAGAGGAGACCCCTAAAGATGTCAAGTCCGGTGAAGCGGTGGAAGAAGGGTGGCTTGTTGTGAGTCGTCAAGGTCAGTCATGGAGCATGTCATTCTTTCATTTT